TCTGCTCTCTTTTTCTCATGGTCTTCTCCTTCTTTCCCATCCCATTAGTGTGCTGTGTCTAAGGCTACGTTCACACAGCAGCCTAAAGCGACCCAAATCTGATTTCTTTTGCCCACATGTGACCTGGATCTGATCTTTTCATTGCAGTCTGAACAACACAGATCTGATATTTTTCTGAATCCGATACGAAACTGATCTTTTCAAATGCGACCTGTGTCTGAACGGCCAGGTCGCATTCATCCGACCTGAACGCCATATATCCCGACAAACGTCCCTATTCTGGGTCTTGCTATGAAGAAGCGGCAATAAAAACAACAACCATGGCGGACAATGTTGTGGAGAGCCGTATTTATGGTTAACCATCTTGAAACGATTGTGTTTTTATGGTTGGGAAAGATCGCTAGATGCGCTCCGACACTGCTATCCATGTTTACTTCTGTAAACACAGAGCATGCTGGCCTGTGATGTCATTGCGTTTTCTACTGCGCATGCGGTACACTTGCATTGTATGAATGCAGTTCACACAGGAGATCACATACAAGTCGCATATATTTGGAAATGTGAACGGCAATGCAAAAAAAATAAATCTGAATTGAGCGTCAAGGTAGCTAGCAGCAGCAACCCAGACTGACACAGCTCATTAGCTAATTTGTATCACCTGCAGCCTGGTGGCGGCGCTCCGGAGGGTTTTACCGTATTTACAGGAGAAGCGGCGCAAGTTAAGTTAGACACTGTCGTTGGACAACATGCAGTAATTTATAAATGTTTTAAATCAGGTTGGTACGGTTAGCTAGCAGGTGGGTCCACAAGTTAGCATTAGCTTACCTACACAGGCTATATAGTGATGGCTTAATGAGGCATCTTTAAGCACACTTTGCCAAACTGTACTGATACTGTGTTGATACTACAAAATACTGACACCTGCTGGACCTTTAAAGACACTACAGGCAGCTTATTTGACAGACTAAACTTAATTGATTTGATGACCGAGTACAATTGCATAATTGAAGTTATTGTAGGTTATATTGTATTATTTCATATCTATTTTTACATTGAAAATATCTTTGCCAATAAATAATGTAAACATATATCATAACGTTAAAATGCACAGTAAAAATGTGAATGAGTATGCTTGTGGACTGTTTTTTAAAACAATAAGTACAATAAAAAGTAAATAACCTAAGAGCCAATTTGAATTTAAGTTTAATTCAGATAGGTTTAGTGATAACTGAAAGGAAAAGTACGACACAAAAAAGGAAAATAAAAACGCAACGGCTGACATGTTTCTATTTATTTTAGGCTGCTCCTAAATTCTTGATAATTATATTGATAAACCGCAAAAGATTATACATTTTTTTAAGCAAATGTGTCATGTTGACAGATAAGTTTTTTAACACAGTTTAATGTGTGCGTCAGTTAGATGCAACTCCTGTATCGGTCACATGACTTTGTTGAAATGACACACGATACAGTGTTTGGCTCTTTGGGGTCAATGCATCGGTTTCGCGGCACCAAGCACTAGTGTTATAATTTACATACTTCCAGATAATATTGCATTGCTTCTCTCTCTCCTTTACAAACTCAAGTTGTTCCATATAGCTGTCTACTAACTTCTTTCCTCTGCTCTTTTACTCTGAGTCTGACAACAGTCAAAAAATTGAGTAGGCTGTCAGACTGGGGGGGTCACCTTGTCATTTAATATCCCACCCCCAAAGAGTTAATATCCCACAATAATGTTAAATAAATCAACCCAAAGAAAACTGGCCCAATCTGTCCCATCCTGAATGGATAAGTTACCAATGTAAAACAGACATTAGTGTTTAGTTTTCTTACCCTGATTAGGTGCAGGATCCCGGACTTCAGGTCAAACAGTTTTGGTGAGATCTGGTTCCTCGGTGAAGAGCCGCCGGAGAGAGAACGGCTGGGAAACTCCCACGATTCCACCAAGCGGTAAGATATCGACAAAAGCTTTAGAACCTTAAAATTATTCATACAAATATGATTTCAGAACACAGAAACCAGTGAGTTCCAATGAAATCAACAACAGCGTTTGCACCTAGAACCCCTCAAAGGGCTGGGCTACTTAACCGTCTTTATAGTACTAATGTAGTTTTTGCTGTTTTACCGTGTAATTCTCTGTTGTGTGCTGTG